CCGGGGACCACGGCCAGAACCGGGCCCCCTCAGAGAGGCAAGGGGAGCAATGGCCTATAGAAGCCCCCGTGTTAGTGGAAGCATTCTATGTCTGCCATCGACCGGAACAGGCACCCAGAAAGGTAAGCGCGATGGTGGTCTACCCGCCGGGTCGGGTTTGGCTTCGACGGCTGTTCTGGTTCCTTCGGGGTTCCCCCTTCCGCCTCTCTCGCGATCGCAGAGTTCGACCCCCGGGGGACTTGCGTCGGTTGCTGCGTCACCGGTTTCCTCTTCGGGTTTTTCGGGGTTCAGTGCCTTGGCGCCTACCCGAGCCCTCGCTCGATGTGTACACGGATGCGTCGTCTCGGCTGGGGTTTTGTGACCAGTGCTCACCAGGCCGGCCAGGGGCGTTGGGATCCGTCCTTCCGTCGAGCTCACGGTACGGTGCGGGAGTTCGCGGCAGTGTGGTTTGCTCTGGGGAGGATTCGGGTGGCCCGCGGATCGACGATTCGGCTCCATTCGGACTGCTCTCCGGTGTTTCATTGCCTGAACCGCGGGGGTTCGATGCGGTCCTTGTCTCTTTGGGGTTGGTCGCTTCGGGTGACTCGTCTGCTGAGTTCTTGGGGTTTGGCTCTCCTGGCGGTTCACGTACGGGGCGTGTCCAACGTCTTGGCGACGGTCGACGACGAGTCCTTCCGTTGGCTTTGCCAGACGTTCGGGCGCCCCGAGGTGGACCTCTTCACGTCGGCGTGGTCGCGGCGTCTTCCCGTTTATGCGGCGCCCTTCCCCGATTGCGAGGCCGTCGGGGTCGATGCCTTTCGGCTCGACTGGACGAGGTGGGGGTTCCTGTATCTCTTTCCCCCGGTTCGGCTGTTGCTCCAGGTCCTGACTCGCTTAGAGACTTACCGGGGGAGAGTTGTCCTTCTGGCCCCTTGGTGGCCGGCCCAGCCTTGGTTTCAGGCGCTGGTTGCTCGGTGTCCGAACCCGAGGGTTTTTCCCACGGCTCCGCCTCTTTCAGCAGATCGGGCCGGTACGTCACGTAGCTGGTTCGATCTTCTCCTCGAGTCTTCGCGTATGGTTTTTTTGACTCGAGTCTATCATCATCTCTATGGTGATCAGGTGGCCTCCTTGTTGGTGTCCCACCTGAGGGCTTCTTCTCGGCGGCAGTATGCAGTTTTCCTGGCGGTCCTTCCGTTTCTTTTTGCGTCTTCGTCGTGTTAGCTCCTTGTCTGTTCGGGTTGTCTTGTCCTTCCTCTCGTGGTTGTTTCAGGACCGTCATCTTATGCCTAACACTGTCGCTTCGTATCGTGCGGCGCTGGCGGAGCCGCTTCAGCTTGCTTTCGGTATCGATGTTACGTCTGCGCCGTTTCGCAAGCTGTCTCGTGCATTGTTTCACCTCCGGCCTGCTCATGCGTCGCCTGAGCCGTCCTGGTCTTTGGACAGAGTGCTCGCTTTCCTTTCATCTCCTCGTTTCGTTGTGGCCCCGTTCGGTCCAGGATTGTTTTTCCAAGGCACTTTTCTTGTTGGCTTTGGCCTCTGGGGGTCGGGTAGGGGAGCTTCATGCTCTCCTCCGGCGCAGGGGTTTCTGCTCTTTTGGTCGTGGTGATAGTTTTGTTCGTTTGCAGCCGTCTCCTTCTTTTCTGGCGAAGAATGAGACTGCTGCGTTCCGGAGGGGTCCATGGGTGGTTGATGCTTGGTTGGTCTGGCCGGGGGTGCATCATGTTTTGTGATCGGCGGTTGCAGCCAGTTGTCTCGGCTTCGAGTTGAGGGGTGAGCGACGACCGCCTCCCGGGTAAGTCCCTCTTTTTCTGTCTGTGGGTAGTTAGCTCCGGGGAGCCGACGGGGCTCCCCCCAGAAAACCAGCGTTGAATGTAATGAAACGCCATTTTCTGGGTGAGTCCCGGAGGCTCCCCGGCATCCCTCCCTCCCTCCGGTCGGCGGTTTTTCGCGTTTTTGACATCCAGCCTCAAGAACTTGAGGTGTGGGTAGCCGGCGCGGGGGGTCTGGGGCTCCCCCTTCCCCCTCCCGGGGAGGAGGGAGCTGCGCAGACAGCGGCGCGGCAGTGTGTGACGTCACACTAGTTTGCTTGTTTTCGGTTGGGGAGTTCTATCCACTAGTTCGGTTTTAGGTAGCAATTTTAACCAGAATAGGGGTTTGTTTTGGGGCGCTTACCTTTCTGGGTGCCTGTTCCGGTCGATGGCAGACATAGAATGCTTCCACTAACACGGGGGCTTCTATAGGCCATTGCTCCCCTTGCCTCTCTGAGGGGGCCCGGTTCTGGCCGTGGTCCCCGGTAGGCCTAAGAACTCCATACACATGACTGATGCCAAAGTCTGACATTAGCATATCAGCCTGGGATAGCTCCGGGGAGCCTCCGGGACTCACCCAGAAAATGGCGTTTCATTACATTCAATGCTGGTTTTTTTTTTCATTCCATGAACTCATTATTGTATACAATACTAAGTGTATTTATTGACCATGAACTCCTTACACATCCTTGATATGCTGGATTGAAGATCTTCTTTCTCAGTTACTCATGTGAACTAACCATAGAATCTTTTAATAAATCCATTCTATTTTTGTATTATACATTTTAGGAAGAGTCAGCATCTAATAAGAAATTCCAGCATGTTTTTTGTAGAAATTGCTTGTTTGACAAATTTTCTTGATTTCCTTTATAACATTTTACCATGTTTGATGAAAGACATTATACATTACTTACTGTATCTGGAATTTCAAAATGCATTTGATGAAGTTCCTCATTGTAGAATGCTTTTGAAAAGTAAGAGCATATGGTTAGACTATTGTCCAAGTTGGTTATAAAATTGGTCATCTGGATGCAAATGTGTACAGTACTTCTAAATGGAAATGTGTGTTGGATAAAACCTGCAGGTGAAGAGGGCCACAAAGAGTTTGTCTTGGGACCAATTTTGTATTTTATTTATATAGTAGGCATCCATCAGTGTCGGGAGACTATGATTGATTGATTGATGAAGATTAAGCCACCCAAAAGGTGGCACGGGCATGAATAGCCCGTAAGTGGTGGCCCTTTGGAGCCATTACCAGTATCAATAGCTGATACTGGAGATCTGTGGAGGTGCGACTGCACCCTACGGAGAGGTCGTGACCTCATGTGACGAGTCGGGAGACTATGGAGTTGCGCTCTGCTTATCGTCTGGAGTGGCCTCTCCAGGACGCAAAGCCAGGGTAGCCATTATTGATACCATTTATTTATATAAATGGTATCAATAATGGCTTATGCTGTACACAATATAAATTTGCTGATGACTTCAAATTAGGAAACAAAGTTATAGTATCGACAAAGTGATCGAGATTACAAGCCGACTTAAATTCCAGAGTAAATTAGTGTAACGAATGGCAGATTCATTTTAAAGTTGATAAATGTAAAATAAATGTACATTACAGTATATTGGAAATGAAAATGAAATGGCAAGCTACTGTATGAACAACAGAGTTTATGAATTTTTTTTTTAAGTACTGTATAACAAATTTAATACCCAAACTTGTTTCACTTCTTTAGTAGCAAATATTATTTTACAATAATTTACTCAGTACAGTACCATTTGGCACTTTAGGCGAGTTTCAGTGAAATCCTTAAATTTTTGTTAAAGATTTTCCTTTGGATTGTTCACAATAAGTTCCTGACTTACCTGTAATATTTTAAAAATTATAAAAATTATGAGAAAATAGGAACAATACAGTATTTTATATAAAACACAAATATCTAAGCAAGGCATGACTGGGACTTGTGACTTTCCATGTACAGAACAGGTACTCTGGTCCCATAGTTTAGGGGTGAGAAGCACCATGTATACTAAAATAGGGAGCAGAAGCACTGTGTGCCACACTCTATGGTGTACAATAGGTCACTGGAGACTGGAGACACAGCATTGGAAGACAGCTAATGTAGTCCCAATATAGAAAAAGGATGACATGCAGGAAGCACTGAACTTCAGGCTAGTGTCCCTAACTCGTATACCATGCAAGGTAGGGAAGAAGATTGTGAGAAAAGGCTAGTAGCACACCTGGAGAGAAAGGATTTTGTAACACACCAACATGGGTTCAGGGATGGTAAAGCTTGCCTCACAGGTTTAATAGAATTCTATGACAAGGTAACAAAAATTAGACAAAGAGAAGAGCAGACAGACTACATATTTTTGGACAGTTAAAAAGCCTTGATGCAATAATCCGTAAGAGGCTGGTGCAATTTGACGAGGTAGACAGGAATAACAGGTAAGGTGTTCCAGTGGATAAGGGAGTACCTAAGCAACAGAAAACAGTGAGTTAATCTGGTGGGTAGATATAAGAATGGAAAGATGTCACCAGTGCAATCTCACAGGGTTATGTACTCGGACCTATTCTGTTTCTGAGATAAGTACTGTACTGTAAATGATCTTCCAGAGGATATAGACTTATTCTTCTTAATGTTTGCCGATGCTGCAAAAATTATGAGACAGATTAAGACAGAGGAAGATAGTAAGAGACTACAAGATGACTTGGACAAATGAAAAAAAAAATCCAATAAATGGCTACTCGAGTTTAACTCAAGTTAGTGTAAAGTAATGAAAATAGGTGTAGGGAGCAGGAGGTCAGACATAAGATACCAAAGGGCAGATGCAAAATTCTTCAAGAATCAGGAATCAGCCAGGTTGTCCAACATAAAAACCATATTTAGATACTTGTGTAATGAACCATTCAGAACCTTGTATAATGTACATCACATTCATCAGGTCAATCCTGGAGAATGCAGGAAAAGTTTAATCCCTGTATCTGGCTAACTCTGAAATGAGTCTGGATTGATCTACATTTCTAAATAGCCATGGGTTGTTTCTCTTAACTTTATCCTACTTTTTTCTTTATTGGTTTCTTATGACTATCTGGTGGACCAAAACTGTTGCTCTTAATGTTAGAACCATTAGTTATTTATGCAGTACTTATTCCTGATTTTGATATTATAATTTATTGTAACAATTTCAAATAGAATTTCTTTTATATTGCAGTTAGGAGGTGACATGGGAGTGTCTGCAAATGGTATTCAGTCATCAGGCAAAATGCATGCCCCTTTTCGTTTGATGCGACTTCTTTTTTATGGAGTAGTTTTCAGCCTCACAACCCTCATCATTTTAGGTAAGTATTTCACATTAGCAATAATGGATGTAACAGTACTATGCTACAGTACAGTATTCTAAAACCAGTTCGATTTTGAGTTCCATATGAATTGTTTGGTACAGTATTAGAAAAAGCATATACAGTATATATATCATGTATTGCATGTTTGTTTATGAATACAAACTCTTCTGTGTGACTGGTATGCATTTAGAAATTATTAAACAAAATAAATAAATTGGTGTTATTTCTGTGTACAGATTTGGAACCAATTTTTCTAGTATTTCCCAAGTGTCAATGATATATCTCTCCCGCTTACACTCTAGGGAATACAGATTTAAAATTGTTAAGCAGCCTCAATAATTTAGATATTTTAGTGAGTGGATTCTAGTAGTAAAAAATCTTTGCACACTCTCCAAGTCAGCAATTTCTCCAGCTTTGAATGAGGCTGTTAGTGTGCAACAATATTCCACTCTAGAGAGAACTAGTACTGTATCTTAAAAAGTATCAGCATTAGTGCGGCATCTTTTGTTTGAAAGATTCTTGTTATCCAACCTGTCATTTTCTTGATTTTGTGACAGGTACTTTGTTGTGATCTTTAAAAGTAAGGTCTTCCAACATGATTACTCCTAAGTCTTTTACATTGCTTTTTATTCCAGTAGTGTGGTTTGACTGTTTGCTATATGGTTTCTGTTTCGATATTTTTGTTTTCCATAGCACAGTAACTGAAACTTATTATCATTAGACATCGTGTTATTATCTGTGGCCCATTGAAAGACTAAGTGAAGATCCCATTAGGACCCTAGATGAAAGCCAGGCCAAAACTTAAATGTCATCATGAAAAGGTTAATGCATTGATTGATAGTGTTTTGGCACTGTCCAAAAATTTTGTAGCCTAGTTTGATTTTGCTTCAAGTGGGCTGCATGCCTGTCACTGACAGTACTGTACTATGTTCATTTATTTGGGGTTCAGTTGCAGTGTGGACTCGGTTATCAATAATGTCGAGTACACACTACCCAATTACATGATAACCAAGAGAATGTTGAAAGATATAGGAAATACTAGTTACTTAAGCTATTTTGTATGCAACTGGTTGTTGTAGATATATAATTGAGTTTTTATGTAACTGTACCTTGTATAATGTTTAGAATTATAATTCATTGTGTTGGGGAGCAGGCAGCTAGTATATGTGCCTGTATATGCATGTTAGGCTTATATTGAGGCCCCCCCCCCAGGATCGAATTACTGACTCCCCAGGATGCAACCCCACAAAAAGCATACTAACTCCTGGATGCCTATTTACTGCTAGGTGAACAGATGCATTAGGTGATAGGAAATGCACCTGTCCATTTCTGCCCCACACCAGGATTTGAACCCGGAATTCTCAATTGTGAGTCGAGAATGAACTCGACTGTACTTTCAAGTTCCAGTAGATACCATTGGCCTAAATCTCATCATCCTTAGATGATGAGATTTCTCATCATTTCTCATCATCTAAATCTCATCATATTGTTGCTTAAATAAGTTTAAATTTTTTATGTGACTGTTCTTACTTTCTACAGTAACTTTAAACAACACTTGGCCCATGAAGAGTGTTGGTCATAATACCAACTCCCTTGACCATGTGTCGGTGGCGTTGGGTGTACAGGAGAGGGTCCACGCTGTCATTATTGATGCAGGCTCAACTGGCTCACGTGTCCTGGCTTTCACTTTCTTTAAAAGCCTTACAGGTTAGTGTGTTATCTGACAAGCTCATTGATTATCGTTTCTTCAATGTGGAATATTAACTGTTATTTGGTATCCCCCCAAAGAAATACCTTATAATTTTTACAGAATAAATTTGTGCACATTTTTTTATTTGCAAATTTACAGTGCCTTTGTGATGTTTGGAGAATGCTTTGGCATTCAGTATTAGCTAAAACTTTTAAGACTTATGGATAGTGGTGGAAGGAAAGTCTCTGTTGGTATTGGTCCAGGTGACATAAATTTGTTCAGGTTTAGGTAAAATATAAAGTGCTTGTCTAGTAAATACAAAAACAAGGAGATTAGAGTAATATATTTAGAATGCCACCCATTCTTTGTTGCTATCAGTTCCTTGATAATAATTATTTTTTAAAGAATCAGTCTTCTCTATAGTCTCTGATATGTCAAAGTCAAAGTCTTCTTTTACTTTGCCTACATTGCTATACTTAATAATTACTTCCCAAGAAATGTAAGGATATACTTGAACCTTGAAAGGATGATCAACCAATTGAATGCACTGAAAGTCATGAAATTCAACACCATCCACAATTTTAAAGCCAGATATGACAAAGAATTTAAATGTCAGGAAAGTTAATATAAAGTCAACGTGTACAACAAGGGTAATAGGTGGTGCACAACTAGACTTCACTTCTCCCATAATCACTGAAGTGTTATTAGGTAAGCCCTGCTATTACCACCACCACCATCTCCACCTACACCTTTACCACCACCACCACTACCTCTACTTACACTTTTACCACCACCACTACCTCCACTTACACCTTTACCACCACAAAGAGTACTGGGAAGACGGGACACCACGGATGTGGCTCTTATCCAATAACTACATTTAAGTACTGTAATTAATTATAAAATTTACTACCATTACCACAACCACCAAATTACCATGCGCCTAATACAGCCTTAGGTAATCATTCACTCCCCTGGTACTCATTACACCATTTTGTGACCCGAGATATGATGGCTTGGGAATACCTTTCGTGTCTGGCTACAAACATCTACCGGGTAGTTCTTTTTTGCCCAGTACAGTATTTCATTATGCATATAATTGTATTATTTTTTAATTTGATTAGCATTTTCTTTTAATTTTTATTGTTTTATTTTCTACATGTCATTCTTTCTTTTATTTAATACAAGCTGACCAGTGAACACTGGCAAGAAGATCATCTAAGTTTTAAGCAACTGTTACCAATGCCTTTATTGATATCAACATGATCACTGTAGGAACCATGTTAAGATTCCTGTCTGAGTCAACAGCTATGTTTAGTGGACAAATTGTGACAGTCAATTTGTCCTGGCTGAAGTGCACTGGTGTTTTATGAGGTAAGAATTGTGTTCATTAATCTCCAGCTTTATCTGGAGTGTCTTAGACCTTCTTAAGTACATGTCAAGGACCAAGTGATAAGGCTGTGTGATATGGTGAACATTAGAGTAATCAGTCTGGTTATTTTGAGAGATACTACTTGTATTTGTGTAAATAAACTGGCCAGCTCAAGACAGACTTATGTAACCAGCATTACACTCGAGCAGGACAGAATATTTGCTTATTTTTCAGAACTTAATTTTTACTGATACAAATTGTGTTGTATTATTTTTTCTGTACAGGTTGTGTAGAAATCTGATTAAAGTCAAGTGTGAAATAATAGTGGGTGAGCAGAATAATGGAGAGGCCATAAAAGTTTATATATAATACAGTATTCATTTCTCACTCCAATGATGACTTAGATGACATATTTTATCTGGTAAATCAGGTGTTGTGTAGTGCATGGGTCAGCACAGTCGACTTATAACTGAAAGGTTTCATGTTCAATTCTTGTGCAGGATGAGATGTTTGGGCACGATTCCTCACACCGAACAGGAACTAGAACCTGGAAGTTAGGTAACTGTTGTGGGTTGCATTCTGAGGAAAATCAATAGTTAGTCTAATGGAACCTTGATGAACCTAACGGGCTTGCAGACCTTGACAATATGAAACTGGGTACAAATTTTAGTTTATTTTTATTGAATATACAGCTTTCTAATTATAGGAAAGTGTTGTAGTCAGGTAGTTTGATCTATATGTCAATGATAAGATGTTGTGCTCATTCAAATCAAAGAAGTTAAAGCATATGTATGTCAGTCAAGTTAATGGAATCATTGAGTAATTATGATAAGCAAATATTTTATCTTTCATATTTTGTTATCTCTAAATTCTTTAAATTGCTCTCCCTGAATAGGAGTCTAAACAAATGATATTTTGAATGCAGTGAATAATTTGGTTTCTCAATTGTATTTCCTCTTGGTACTCTTTATGAATTGTAGGCCACTTACTTTGGCCTGTAATGTTGGAATTGGATAAATGTGTGTAAAGGTTAATAAGTGGATAGACTATGAAATAACATAATTATGAGATATGAGGGATTAATAATGGGAATAAATGACATGTGATAATGTATGAATGAAAGAAAAAATTTAAGATGTGTGCAAGTTTAGACACAAAATAGGTTGAAGCAGATGAATATGAGCTGAGACCAAAAATGAAGTGGAAGGATTGGTGTGAAAGGATGTGGATAAAGTGTAATGACCTGTAGCTTAACAAAGATTAAATGACATGGTAGAGATGGAGGGAAATCCAGTTATTGTGTGTACGCTGTACTGTATATGAAAGTACCGGTACTTTTCTGAGCAGTAAACTTAGTTACACTATTAGGCAGGATCCTACTGAACCTCTAGTTTGGATCTCTCATTCAGGGGAGATTGACATTCTGCACCAGTGTAGCTGGAGTATTGTCAAACTGTTCCTGCTGAGTCATTCTAGTTCTAGCCTAAGGAAACACTGGAGGATTTCAATATCTATCACTGAATGCAGCCAGAAATCACATTTATATACAAAATTCATAGCTTTTCTAGCACAACTTGTCATGACAGCTCTGCACCCTTCCCAAATACTGAATAGCCCACTAGGGCACTATCCCCATCTGCCACCAGGTAACAGTACCATCATCAAATTAAGGCTCCCATAACCCAAGTAGTTCCAGTTGATATGTTGTGCATTCACCACAAATGTATTGCAAATGAGGGACAGAACCACGTAAACAGGCTGTTTGTTGTGCCATGTGGATGCAAACAAATCCACTTAAAGAATGCTGAACATGGTATATATCAAACGAAAGGAGGTCTCTTCCAACTCATAGTTTGTTCCATTGAAATGAACCTGGGAGAAGACATCTGCCAGCACATTCAACACCCTACGGATTTGAACTGCTACAGGACTAAATCCTGAGAAGTCAGAAGATAGGCTATGGCTAGAGTTAAGCACAACAATGAGAAAGTCTTGATGGACTTCTGTTGAGGCATAGCATTCAGAAGAGGTATGCATTCCCCTAACATTATGCGATTGCAATGTTCAAGACCATCATCATTGACTAGCATAGTGAAAGCTGAAGACAAAATCCCAGCTCTCATTGAATGTGTTAGTGAAAAGCTCAAAGCAAATACCTGGATGCTTTCTAGATTGGTCTCTTAAGAGGAAATAGGAATCTGCCTTGGTGTGCAAAAATGGTAACAATAACTCAGATATTACAAAGGTTAGGAGGATGCGTTTTGGTTGAGTGCTAAGAAAACCAAAATTGCTTAGCACCTACAATGAACAATCTTAAACTAGAAGACAAGAGTAATGACTGGAATCCCAAGTGAACCTGTTGTGAAGTTAGGCCAAGATTTTGATTTCATGGAGCCTAATCTGTGAAAGAACAATTATTAAGGCAAGTATTATTTGAAAAAGGCTCTTGATTTTTGTATGAATGTTCTTTCTGGCAGCATGGACTGGATTGAACGCTCTAAAGTGTTTATCATCAGTATGATTTAGTAGGAATAGTTTAAATAGTTCTTTGCTGGTCTGGTGCAGAATGTTGATCTGATGTAAATACTCCAGATGTAGACCATGGTTTTAGTATGATCTTGCTTTGTGGAGTAGCCGAGTGGGATACCTCAGAAAACACCGTTAAAGAGGAATCTTTATTTTCAGTCATTATTTTGCTTGGTATTTAGTTAAGTTTCTCAATAAAGCTCATACCAAGCGAATATCCAAAAATAAGAGTGGGTTGAAGAATTATGTTTCTACATGCTTGTTTGCAGTTCTTGCACTTCAATTGATAACACTGTTGAGAAGATGCCTAGCTTAATGAAGGCAAACACCTAATTGGGCACACAATTATGCAATGCATTATAATCTGGAAGAAAATGAGGAATATGAAGCAGTTGAAAAATCTGATTTCAGGAGAGAACATTATGGGGGATGGTGGGAACTTAGAAATTTCTTTAAGGAATTTGACTATAACGACTTGCTGTTAGTCAAGGAAGTAAAAGAGATGTATGTTGAGTTTTTGAAATATATGATAAAGGCACAAACAAATTTATACCAAAGCAGAGCTCTAGAACTAGGAAACAGGATTAGTTCAACAGAAATTGTGGGAGGGTCAGAGACCAAAAGACACAAAAATGGAATCGATATAGGAAGAGGTCAAACCCCCAAACATACCAGTGATACAGAGATGCGAGAAACAATTGTGAGGAGAGAGGTAAAAAGAAATTTTGAGAGAGGGATAGCGGACAAATGTAAAACAGAACCAGGCCTATTCTATAAATTCATCAACAGCAAATTGCAAGTAAAGAATAATATTCAGAGGTTGAAAATGGGAAACAGATTCACGGAAAATGAAAATGAAATGTGTGAAGCATTAAACAAAGCTCCAAAGTGTGTTTGTACAAAATTAAATCTTCAGGGAGCCAGACAAAAGAAGAATTCCAGAGAATAACATAGAGCACATAGAGTTGTCTAGAGATGAAGTGGAAAAAATTATCAAGGAGCTAAGAAAAGAACAAAGCAGTTGGCCCTGATGGAGTTTCACCATGGGTGTTGAGAGCTGAGCTGAATGGTGCTGAGAGAATGCTGAGAGAATGATGCACCTGGGCTCAGCATTCTACTTCAACAAATTTTTCAGGCATCCTTGTGTACAGGAGTTGTAGCTGATGTGTGGAAAAAGGCTAACATAGTTCCAATCTACAAAAGTAGCAGCAGGGAAGTCCCCCCTCAATTATAGACCTGTATCATTGACAAGTGTAAAAGTCAAAATACTGTATTAGAATAAATAATTAAAACTAAATGGGGTAGAACACCTGGTGAAAATTGATATAATAAGACAGACAGACAGTATCGTCTTCAATCTGGAAGATCCTGTGTATTGAATTTACTAAGTTTCTATTATTGAGCCACAGAGATTTTACAGGAAAGAGATGGTTGGGTTGACTGCATCTATCTAGACCTAAAAAATGCATTCAACTGAGTTGCACATAAGAGGTTGTTCTGGAAACTGGAGCATATTGGAGGAGTGACAGGTAGGCTTCTAACATGGATGAAAATTTTCTGACAGAAAAAATGAGGGCAGTAATCAGAGGCAATGTATTGAACTGGAGAAATGTCATAAGTGGAGTACCACAGGGTTCAGTTCTTGCACTGGTAATGTTCATTGTCTACATAAACGATCTACCAGAAGGAATACAGAATTATATGAACATTGCTGATAATGCTAAGATAATAGGGAAGATAAGAAATTTAGATGATTGTCATGCCCTTCAAGAAGACCTGGACAAAATATGTGTATGGAGCAACACTTGGCAAATGGAATTTAGTAGGATAAATGCCATGCTATGGAATGTGGAATAGGAGAACATAGACCCCACACAACTCATAAATTATGTGGAAAGTTTTTTAGGAATTCGGATAAAGAACGAGATCTGGGGTTGGTTCTAGATAAAAAACTATCACATGAGGACCACATAAAGAACATCGTACGAGGAGCCTATGCTACACTTTCTAATTTCAGAATTGCTTTTAAATACATGGATGGCAAAATACTCAAGAAATTATTCACGACTTTTGATAGACCAAAGCTGGAATGTGCAGCGGTTGTATGGTGCCCATATCATAAGAAGCACATCAACAAATTGGAAAAGGTGCAAAGACATGGTACTAAAGGGCTACGAGAAATGAAGGACAAGAGCTACAAGAAGAGGTTAGAGGCATTAAATATGCCCAAACTAGAAGACAGAAAAGAGGTGATATGATCACTACGTACAAAATAGTAACGGGGAATCGATAAAATTGATAGGGAAGATTTCCCGAGACCTGGAACTTCAAGAACAAGAGGTCATAGATTTAAAGTAACTAAACAAAGCTGCTGAAGAAATATAAAAAAATTCACTTTCATAGAATGGTAGACAGTTGGAACAAGTTAGGTGAGAAGGTGGTGGAGGCCAAAACTGTTAGTAATTTCAAAGCATTATATGACAGAGTGCTGGGAAGATGGGACACCACGAGCATAGCTCTCATCCTATAACTACACTTAGGTAATTACAGAAATACTGTATGTTTATAGCTGAACAGATAGACAAGATCAAGCTATCTTTGGCAAACACTGCATAATTTAACCCTTAAACTGCACAAAACCTCATATGATGTGTGACATTGAACTCAGTTTTCAAAATTTTCTGAAACTCTTTCAAATGTTCTGTGAATAATCTTCTAGGCAAATGCTCCAACTTTGTTTAAATGATACCAGTGTAACTTGAAAAACAAGAATATAGAAAATAATTATAAAATTAAATATTGAAAACTTCTGATTTTGAAATCGGCTGCAAAAATATAAAAATATCACCAACTGTTCATTTGGTGTTTTTATGCTCTCAGAATAGCATATGATCTTCATTTTCATATATTTAGAATATAGGTTTTCAGTATAGTTTACTGTAAAAAAAATTTGTCAATATGGCATTTGAAATATGCGCAAATTTAGACAACAAAAATTTATAACTCCAAACATTTAGAGTTTATGAAAAATCAATTCTATAGGGATTGTAGAACAGACCGCTGTGCACACTATACGTAAAAATGGCGAGAATCGGTCGGAAACTAGATTTTTGGATACTGAAGTAAGTTGAAATTCTAGTTTTAGATATACTGTACTGTAATTGAAGTTGAAGTTATCGACAATGAATGAGGCATTTCTAATTCATGAATTTACGTGTATGTTGTAATAAACATTGTTTGGCATTCATACTCAAGTATGTGAAAGTTGTAGGTCAATGTGTGTAGAAATTAAATAAGAAAAAAAATAAGGATAATTATAATAATTATAATGATTTAGGGAATATATTTAGGGTATTCTTTATATAAGTAAAAAAGCCCTGAGCGGGTCCCTAATCTTCAAAACAACCTAAAGAAACAAGGAAAATAGAGTTTAAAATCTGTGAAAAAAATCAGTAAAAAAAAAATCAAAGTCCCAAGTTCTGGGGGTTGTAACCAATTTATTTGTTGACCAATTTAATTCTGTCTTCACATAGTTAGGGATGAGTATGCATTCTCCAGGATGTAAAGGTTAAAACAAATTCAAATAGTAAATAAAGGAGGAAAAACAAAACTAAAATCCTAAACAAAAATTTCCCCTAAAAAAAATATTTTTTGGACATTTTTAAAAGTAACTGATAATAACATTGGGCAATGTATTTATATGATATATAACAAAGTAGATCATAATAACATAGTAACTCATTATTATTTGTGTTATTATGTATTACTCACCAATGCTATAAAGGCACCAGCTGTATAACCACTTTGTGGACATGTCTTACTACTATTCTTCTTCTTTGTGCATTGGACAGGTGCTTGCATCTCTTTATTATTGCATTATCCACCAGTTCCAGTTAATAGGAGCTATTCTCTTTATCAACAAAACTTTCTTTTTTTCTAAATATTTGTCTAAGATCAATTTCTGAAAATATTTTTGATGAAAGTTTCACGAAGCTGAAGCCAATAAGTTGAAGATTTGTTTAACATTTTTAAGTAATTTTTACATAATTCAAATATTTTTTTAATTATACCCCCTTCAATGTCACACATCATATGATGTTTTATGCAGTTTAAGGTTTAATTAAGTTTTGCATGTCATTTCCTTTTGTATAAAGAAATAAGTTGTTTTATGCTTTCTACATGTATAGTATAGGGAAAACAGGATTGTTTTATATGTACTGTATATATATATGAATTAATGAACTTTGTTGTAAAATATTATTTACTCTGTACATTTTTAAAGAATTTTTATTTGCATTTAATAGTAAACTTTATACTCTAATTTTAGCAGTTGAACTTGATAGAAGTTTTAAATTAAGTTTGTTAAACAATTATTATAATTTATAAAATATTAGTTTCCATATTATAACTGCAGTATAATAATCCTAACTATACTGCTATTGTCAGTAAGTACCGGAACATTCATATAAGTGCATATCTTAACATCTTAGCAGGCATCTATTTGGCTTTTCCTCTTAAACCTTTGCTAGTAATAGCAATAAATGTTCAAGTACCTTACCGCCAACATTTCATATCTTTCATGTTGTTTATAGAAGAGTTATTTTGTGAGGTGTGTGGCTTCCTTCATTGTTTCAGGCACTAAAATTACTTGTACACTGTGGCACTGTTTTGTCAAACACCTTAAACAGCTCCTTTATCAGATTCGTTCATTACATGTGCTCTGCATCTCTTAATTCCTTCATCCCTACCAACGTAAATTGTCTTATCATTTATAATTTGTTGAGCCACTGTCCAAAGAAATTTCTGTGGAGAACCCCTTCTGCTTCCCGGAGCTTTACTGGGCTGATGTGTATATATTAGACCGTGACAACAGTCAATCGATAGAGTTCTATGACTACCGGGGACCATGAGCCAGAACCTGGCCCCCTCAGAGAGGCACGAGGAGCAGTGGCCTATAGACACCCCACATGTAATTGGAAGCAGTCTATGTCTGCCATGTACCAGGTCTGGCACTCAGAAAGGTAGGAATTCCAAAACAAACTACAGTTGGTTAAAAATTGCAAACCGAAAGCTGAACTATCTAGCAGAACTCCCCAATCGAAAACAAGCTAACAAGCATGATGTCATCACAGGCCTAGTGCCACTACCTGTGGCTGTGGCACAGGGGCCATTAGGGGGGGCTGGTGGCTGTGTGGATAGCACGCTGGACGCGTAATCCTGTGGCCCGGGTTCGATTCCCGGTGCCGGCATTGACTGCTTTTAACTACATGGGGGGTGTCTATAGGTCATTGCTCCTCGTGCCTCTCTGAGGTGGCCAGGTTCTGGCTCGTAATCCCCGGTAGGCATAGAACTCTATCGATTGACTGTTGCCATGGTCTAATATATACGCATCAGCCCAGTATTGCTCTGGGGAGCCTCCAGGTCTTGCCCGGTTAATGGCATTTCATTACATTCAACTCTGTTTTTTTTTGCCCTTCTGAACGCACTTCTTGGCCTACTATGCAAGGCCCGATTTGCCTAATAGGCCGAGTGATTTTCTTTATTTTCAATATATTGTTTCCTATTGGTTTATTTTAAATATTATTATTATATTATATTAAGAAAATAAATTATTGATTTAGTTATGTTAGTTTAGGTTAGGATAGGTTAGGTTAGGTAGGGTTGGTTTAGTTCGGTCATATATCTACATTAGTTTTAACTCAAATTTAAACAAAATTAGCTCATACATAATGAAATGAATAGCTTTATAATTTCATGAGAAAAAAAAATGAAAAAATATTTAAATTCTGGAAAACTTGGCTTATTAGGCAAATTGGGCCTTGCATAGTAGGCCAAGAACTGCATTCTGGCTACTAGGTACAACACACATTTATCCATATTGTATATATACATATGCATATGTATTTGCAATTTTTTATTTATTGAAACTTTTTTGTTTTTTTATAGTGTATGTGACTCACTATTGAGTCAGATTACTTATGTTGATATTAAGTAGAATAATTTTTTATAAAGTACAAGTTTACATGAGTACTTGATATTTCTAAAGTGTAGTTGAATGAGGTAGGTTCTTTAGTATATGGCAGGTGCTGTATAAATGGGTGTGATGTTGTTAACAGGTGGAGTGTGTGAGAAGACAACAGTGGCCAAAGGACCACTTAGCTTCATCGAAAATAACTCTTCCTGTGGTAAACATGTCTCTTATTACCCTGTTTTCATCCTTCCTGTGATGGGCATGCTGAGCTTTGCTGGTCTGTAGCTACAGTATGATGGTGTCATGGGTGTTGTTTGTCCACATTTTGTAGTTTTTGCTTCTTGCTAGCTTGTGTAAATCTTGTCATTTGATTACATGACTGCATGGATCTAGCACATCTTAAATAATATAACACATTTTGCTAATTTATTGTAACTATTAACTGGAGGCTCTGAAGTAGACTATTATCATGCCTTGAATACAACTAATAAATTGTCGTATATTTTAATTTGCTAATGTGAGCATAATTGCAAATTGCTGTTTGACTAGTTCTGAAAGGGTTACAAATATTTTGAGATGTAAGAAGAGCTACAAATGCAGAATCACACATGCAAGTTGTAAATAAATTATGAATGTTTTCTTAACAGTATTGCGCCCTGTGCGTGTGTTCCGCACATATGCACGTAGTAGCCCTGGCAGTGCGGGCGAGCGCTCGGCGGCACTAAATGTGTATTCTGTACTTGTTTCAGATTTCACACCTTAATTCTCGTGCTACATCGCTCGTTTTGGTATCATTGTGTTCACTATAGAACTCCCTACAAATGTAAATGCATATAAGGTCCAACAGCCAAGCTTGACTCCCCGTAGCAATGCCTAAAGTCGGCAAAAGTTACCCGTGAGCGCACAAAATCAGTAAAATGTGTATACTCGTTTAAGTTTTCTCATCTTAATTCTTGTGCTACGTCGTTTGTTTTAGTATCATTGTGTTCGCAATTAAATTCCCTGCAGGTGTATATGCATATATTGTCCAAAAGCCTAGCGTGACTCCCCTTAGCAAAGCCTAAATTTACCCGTTAACGAGAACCAATTATCACACCCGCAACCTAATGTGTATACTCGTTCAGTTTGATAACATCAGTTTTCGTGTTACTTCGCTTGTTTTTGTATCAAAGTGTTCGCAATATAAAGGCGCAAATTTTAAAACTAGTCCCATAATAATAGGACAATAACTGGAATTTTAACAAATATTTTAATTTTGGATGCTCCTCATCACAAAATTATTTATATCTTTCCAGTGTTCTGACAAATTTTTGTGTTACATCCTTATTTTGGTATCAAATTGTTCGCAATGTAAAGGCGCGCATTTTAAAACTAGTCCCATAATAATAGCACAATAAATAGAATTTTAACAAATCTTTTAAAATTTTGACCAAAAACGAATTTATAATCTTTCAGGTGTTCTGACATCACGTTTCGTGTTACATCTTTCATTTTGGGATCAAATTGTGTGCACTCTAAAGGCTCTTATTTTGAAACTATCCCGAAGTCGATCGGATAAAAAATGAATTTTATACAAATATTTTTATATTAGACGCGAGCACAGTCCAAGGCTAGGACTCGAGAGAAATAAAAAGTGGACGCGAGCGGTGTCCAAAGCTAGCGATAGTGTTAAGACGTAGTACTATTGCTGTAGGTGTTACTTCATTTACCAAGGCCTAGGAAGCATACTACGGTAGGAAAAATCCTTTCGATTGTAAGTTTTACAGATGAAACCAGGAAACTTAACTTCATTCTAATGGCATTATAAAGCAAATATATACTGTAGTTATGTAAAATTTGGGAAATAAAAATGGCAGAAGTCAGGCGTTGTCTTGGAGAGTTTCGTGTAGCAAGAATAATTATAGAGAATTTTGATGCACAACATGTGGGATCAAGTTATAATTTTTGTTGCTCATACAGGTGCGCGTGTGAGTTCACACAGGTGTGCATGTGTGTTTACACAGGTGCACATGTGGCTTCACACAGGTGCATGTGTGTGTTCACACAGGTGCGTGTGTGTGTTCACACAGGTGCGTGTGTGTGTTCACACAGGTGTGCACGTGTGTTCGCACAGGTGTGCACGTGTGTTTGCACAGGTGTGCACGTGTTCACACAGTTGTGCATGTGTGTTCACACAGGTGCACATGTGCACATGTTCACACAGGCATCACACACGCACCTGTAATTACCACTTAGGTAATTACAGGTGCGTGTGTGTGTGCACTCACATATATGTGCCACACTGGCATGTTTGCTTCTACAAGCATGTGTACATTTTACACACACTCCAAAACATTTGCAAGGATTCTTACACATTAACTTAAAGACAGATTTACTTATATTTGACTTGTAATTCAGAACAAGTACTTTTTCTGTTTTGTACATGTACATATATTGAGCATTGTTAATATTCCACTGACTAATGTTATGAATGCCATCACAGTCTGCTTTATACCTGACAATATCTTCAGCAGAGATTTGTTGTTTTAACTGTCTACATAAAACACCCATAAAATGTATCCTCTAACCCCACAGCTGAAGAAATCAGTATGTTCTTTGTTCTTAACACTTGCCACTAGATTGCCACTACTGATTGCCCTTCATCTTGCAAATTTGGTGACACTGTACATGCATTCTTGCCTTAACTGGTACTTTGGTTGATGACTGTGATTCAACATTTTTTAATTGATGAATGGTATTTTGTATCGTACTTATTCTTTGCCACATATCTGGATGATATATTTTATATTTGTTCTTTCTTTCCTGGTAAGTACTGAACATTTAAATACAGTACAGTATGTAATCAATCTTTATATAGTACATAGATATTTAAGTATGTATGAGTGTGTGTGTGTGTGCATGTGCTTCTTCAAAATCTATTGTAATTACATAGATGTTGAAGTACTAGAGAAACGGTTGGAACAAGTTAATTGAGAAGGTGGTAGAGACCAAAACTGTCAATAGTTTCAAAGTATTATATGACAAAGAGTACTGGGAAGACCGGACATCACAAGCGTAACTCTCATAATGTAACTACACTTAGATAATTACACAGAGTACAGTATATATCTGCAAAATGGTTAGACAAAATAACCAGGTAGAGCAACACATAGCATATAGAATTCAGTGTGGATAAATTAATATAATGGAGTGTGGATTTAATGACATGAGGCCACATTCAACCTTCAAGGAAAGAGATTTAGGGATAGTATGAATGACCAAATAAAAGGGCATAGTAAGAGGAGCCTACACTACTCTGGCCAATTTCAAAATTGTTCTAAATTCATGTATGTAGAAATGCTACCATTTTTGTGGGGGAGCCCCTCCAGCTCCCTGGAGCTATCGGGCTAATATGCAATTCATTAGACAGGGCATTAGTCAAAGGAGTTCAGCCTACTAGGGAGAACATGCCCCCCTCAGAGAGGCACAGGGAGCAATGGCCCTGGAAAATCCCCGTGGTAGGGTGTTTTCCTTATCTGCCATCGACCAGGGTTAGGCACCCAGAAAGGTAGGCAAAACAAAACAGACCCCACATGGCAAAAAAATTGTACCCAAAAACCGAACAGAGTTAGAACTCCCTCAATTCCCAAGGAAACAAGGAAATAAGCAAACATCACACCAAGCCACAATGCCCATCTTCCACGCCGCTCTTTCACACAACCCCCCCCCCCCTCTCACCAAGGGAAGTGGGAGGGGGTAGCCCCGAACCCACCGTGCCAGCTATCCAATTTCAGTTCCTTGGCTAATGCAATCCGGGGAGGGTGTCCTCTGCTGTTCGTGGTGTGGTGGCCAGGTGTACCTGAAGTGTACCGGAGCTGCATGCATTTAGGGCAGCCAACCCTAAGTGCCTTGTGATAACCCTGTAACCCTTGCGTGTCAGGGTTATCTTTCCTGGTGTGTTCGGGATGCCATTTCTGTAGGGATTTTGTTGCTTGGCATCTAATCCAGTTGGGGTTTCGTGGCCCTTGTTTGGCCTTGGGAGTGGTTTTGTTGCTGGTTGAGGTGCTGTGCAGCCAGCTTACCTATGCAGCGGCGAGTTCCTGTTTCCTATAGGGACGTTGTACTTTTGGTGGGTTTTCTTTTGCTTTTTGTTTTGTTTGCCTAGTGAGGGTTTGCCCAGTGTGGCTATTGGACTACTTATAATATTTTGGTGGCCCTTTACTAGGCCCCCATGATTGTACATGTACATGTACATGTACATGGTTTCAGTGTTTTGATCTCCACCTTGTTAGCTTTGGGTCTAACCGGTTAGCAACACCTTGCCCGGGCTTCCTGTAGCAGTCCTGGAAAACCCTGTTTGGGGCTCGGTGGACCTATGGATGCGTCTTTGGAGTTCCAGCTCGCCTCGTGCGAGTTTGAAGGTCGCTGTCTGTGCCCTTGTCTCAGGGTGACAGTCAGAGCTTTTGTCTCCATCATGCTGCCTGTTGGGTCACCGATACCTTTGACCTGGAGTCTTGTAAGTCGTGTTCCTTGCTTATTCCTCAATTTACCCATTCTGATGACATTGATATTAGGGTACAGGCGGCATCCGCATTGCATGCTAGGTTCCAGTTGCTGCAAAGCGCTAGGTTGGTTGCCCACTCGAATGCCCTGTTTTGGTTATAGGGACCCGGAGTTGGGGGTGTTAGTCGCTTCGACTTTGGTACAGTCTGCACTCCCTGGTCCTTCGCCTGTTGTTTGCCCTGCTCTCCCCCTTCCCCCCCCCACCCCTGCTTCCAGCTCCAAAAAGTCTGAGGGTTTTGGGGTTTAGTTGGTAATGAGATGCTGGCAGCTTCAGGGTCTGCCCCGTTTGGGTTGAGGACAGAGGCATTCGAGCTGGTTCCTCCTGCCGAGGCTTCTGGGTTCCACCAGCAGGCCCCCCTTCTTTTCTGCCTTTCCTTTGAACTTTGCTTTTTCTTCAGAGGTAGAGGTTATGGAGGACTGCTCTGTCCGGGTCCCAACTTGGGGGATCAGCTGAGTGGACAGCGCTTCGGATTCGTAGTCCTGAGGTTCCAGGTTAGATCCACAGTGGCGGCAGAGACAATTGGGCAACAAAATTATTTCACCCTGATGCCCCTGTTCACCTAGCAGTAAATAGGCACCTGGGAGTTAGCAGCTGCTATGGGCTGCTTCCTGGAGGTGTAACAGAAAGGAGGCCTGGTTGAGGACCGGGCCGCGGGGACGCTAAGCCCTGAA